ATATATATATATATATATATATATATATATATAGGTCACTTAGCTGAATTTTTTTATATATTTTAATTCTTTTCACCTTAAATCAATTTTTAACCATTTGTTTGTATTTTTAGTGCCGAGGGAACTAAAATGTAGCCAGAAGGTCAAGATAAGGAATGTCTTCAGGGTTGTTGAACTCAAATCTGGCATCAAATGTTGTGCCTCTGGTCCCCCCTCTAGATCCTGGGAGTACTGTGTTTGAAACTGTGTTCACATCCCCACTTACAAGCTAGCAGGACCAAATGAGGCACATCTACTCAGGTACCATGAGCAGGTGTCCAAATAAGGTTGTCTTTAGATTACAGATTTGTATAGAAAAGCTATAGCAAATACCAATCAAAAACTAAAATAAGATACAAATAAAGTTTGCAGATACATAGATGATATTCTTATCCTGAATTATTAAGGTTTTCTAGATACAGCTGAACAAATTTATCCACCAAAGTTCACTCTAGAAAAAAAGATCTGTGACTAAAAACAAACTATCTGGATTTAGATATTATCATCAGTAACTGAACACAAGTTTAAAGTCTTCAATAAAGTGTACACTTCCAACTTTGAAGTTATAAACTTTCATTCCAAATTACAAATATTCCAGATAAGTTATATTACAATATTTACTATTTTCAGAATATAATTTGTTCCTTATTGTAAGATTTTGTGAATACATTTTGTAAACTCTCTCATTTTTCACAAACAAGGTTTCCTGTGCATTTTAAATACACAATTCATTCAATTCTTTTGGAAATTCAACAATATTTTTGTTTAGAACAGCACAACCTTTAAAAACTTTTACATCCACACTATAATTACATTGAATATTGTTTAAGGTAATAGTGAACCTCTTTAGTATATTGACCATTGTTTTACCTTCTGTTAGTTTAAGTTCTTATCTATGTGTATGTGTGTGTGTGTGTGTGTGCAATACCCATAGCTCCAAGAGAAAAGAACCTAGAAACCTGGAATTTTGCACCCATACTAAGTGGACCCTGAAAGTGTGCACCTGGATATTATTACTTATCCTTGAGCACGCATGAATATTTTTATGAGACAAGCTAGCAAAAAAACATAAAAAAGAAGAGGGAATATAGCTCCAAGAGAAAAGAACCTAGAAACCTGAAATTCTGCACCCATACTAAGTGGACCCTGAGGATGTGCAATTCGGTATTATTAATTTTCCACATGTGTGCATACATGTGCATCTTTTTAATGAGGCAAGGTAGCCAAAAAAAAACCACATAAAAAAGTGGTTCCTTATATTACAAAATATTAAGTGGACCAAGAAGGTGTGTACCTAGGTATCATTACTTATCCATATGCATGCAAATGTGCATCTTTTTTAATGAAGCAAGCTAGCAAAAAAACACATAGAATGTTTCTGTGAAATAAAAATGTTTCAAATATTTTTGACTGTTCCTCTATGCTAAAATAGGTTCAGAATACACACTGACATAGTCATCTAGAATATATCAACCTAATAACCCGAATGAAGCCAGGTACTTTCGCTAGTTTTATATATATATAGTTAATATTAGCTTTATAACAGATTTGTATATAGTATGAAATTATGTCACTACTTTAGTTAAATTATTTTTTGATAATTATTTTGTTTATCATGTTAAAAAGTGCTGTAATTTTCTTTTGTAAGTCTCATTATTTTCATTGAAAATTCTTGAAACTTAACAAGTTTTCTTTTTGACTTTTACAGAAGATTTAATATATTTTATTACTTGTTGTAGCCAGTTTTATGCATTTAAGTATCAAAGACTACCTGAATTAAGAGTTATAGTGTTAGACACACATTATATGTTCAGCATATTGTTTTCTTTGTATTACTTTAACATGGTTATATTTTCAAGGATAATTTTTTGTATTCCTTCATTTACTTAATTCTTATTGTATATTCATAAACACTAGCTTTGGGTTGTACTAAAGGAAAATTAATGCTACTAATTGATAAAATTTTAAAAGTAATATGTGTTGTCATAAATCTGTTAACATTAGCAATAGGAGTGGCTTAATGAGTTTTCTGTTGGTCAAAAAATATGATAGGGAAAATGAAAAAAAATCAGGCATGTTAAGTTAGGTTAGATTTTTTAAAAAAATTAACTACAAAAGTAGTGTAAGCCAACAGCTAATGTTTCTGTGTTCCCCAAATAAGGTATACTATACTATATTATTTATTTATTGTTACTTTCATTAACAATATTGGTTATATGATTTAATAAATCTTATGTTATTTCTCTTTAATTTTATCATTTTCTATTATTATGCTTTCATTATAGAGATTGTTTTGCATTGTTAGTATAATATTATGGCCAAAGCTATCATTAACAGCACTGGTACCTAACTGATGGAACAATGCAGTATAATCTTTATATACTGAAATGTAAGAAAAATATATTTAATTAACTATACTAACTTCTGATCGGAACAAACTAAAAATTAATCTAACAATCAGTATAGCTAACTAGATACACAAGGTCTGGTCAACTTGGGAGATTTAGGTTAGTGTGATTGTTGATCGTGAGGCTGATTTCTAATTTAGCTTTAAGTACAATGAGAGGGAGAAATCTACACAGAGTAGAAAAGCAGGAATATGTGTAGACTGAACAGGACTTATTTATAACCTGCATAAGGTCCCACACTGAGAGCCTGTGTAATAGGTTACAATGAATAGGGACAGAATGAATTAGCCACGTGGGATAGCAGGGGGCGGGGTGCATTAATACAGCTTGGAAGGTACTGTCAAAGCAGTCCCACCTGAACAGAAGGCAGGCTCAACACTTTGTTATTCCATCCTTGATGCAGATTTTAGGGGAGAGAAATATTCCCTGTGACACAACACCATGCATGTCATGGGTTCCTTTGTGTCTAGTTTTTTTGTTTTTTTTTAAATAGTACTAATGGGTAGAAGGCAAAAACCACAATGTGGTAAAAGTAATACAACACAAATGTACTGGGGGTCATCCACATCTCCATCTGAAAGATCTCATCCAAGAGATTCAATGGATAGGGACGAAGAGAAGCTGTAAGGTGACAAACGTGATGGGAAATTACATGAAAAAGATGATAAGTGTAATTTCCAATGGAGGAAAAGACAAGCCAGATGAGTTGTTAAACCTAATTGGTCAAACTTGAAGTAGATAAGGGAAGAAGAGGAAACTCAGAACTTAAAGAAAATACAGTGGATTATCTTGAAAGGAAGCAGTACAATTACAGTGAACTTCCTGAACAGGACAAAGCAAATGACTGAGGTTGGAACAGAGAAAAAAGGGAATGGCTCCTTGGCAGCCTAACATTTGGGAAGGAAGGAGAGGTCTGGGATTAAAATCAACCTGTCCCTGTGAAGGCAACCAAGACAAAAATATCAGAGTGATATCTCTTGCAAGTGAGAAGAAAATACATCTTAAGAGAAAGATGGTACTAGAAACAGGTGGCTGATGGTTTGAATGGAGGATACATACGAGCCCTAACAACTAAAAAAGATGTTCCAGTTTGGAAGAGAACTGGATGTACAAGATAAATAAAGAGCTCAAGAGAAGCCAGGGTTGTCAAAAGATACTAGGGATGGATCAATACTATCTTGGAAAGCTTGAGGAGCCAACCCAAACAAGACAACTCTCGAAGAAGAAATGTTGCCACAGCAAATGATACCTCTCTGGAAATGGCAAGAAGGAGCCAGTCTTCCATATGTTAGTGGAAATATAGGCTTAATGAAAGTGGCTTTCAGGATTTCATTGAAAACATACGAGATTATAGTCAACTCAATGGGAAGAGCCCTGAATTGAAAAAATCTGACTGTTATGGACAACATTGAGGAAGCATTGGGTGGTCAGATGTATCAGAATATCATGCAACGGATCTGAAACATTGACACTGGCAATACACAACCTGGGATAGAACACCTGCCTCAGATTGAGAAATACTTTCCATTTTATACTGAGGAATGAAAAGAAACTGATTCAAGGGTAACAGATCTATGATAAATTGCCAATTCCTGTCTTCTTGGAAATAACCAAAATGTGGAAATAAAATCCAAGAGTGGGATCAAGGGCCTGCTCCTTGGTGTTAATTTTCTCAGAGAGAAGATACACACTTCTTCAGGTGCAGAAAACACAAAGGATCAGAGAGGTGGGAGAGAGGAGGTAGAAAATTAAAAGTCAGGAAAGATCCCGATGAAACATCTGTGCAAACCAATGATCTTTTGCAAAAGGGGTTCACAGGTGTGCAAAATGGGAGGTAAAAGCTCCCAGAAGACCACAGCTGAGGGACAGTTCCAGACACAAGTTACCTGCATGACCACAATAGCCTTTCCCTTTGAGAGAAGGGGAATTGGAAAGTAAGAAGAGAATGAGACTTCCAGAGATGAGAAACCTGCTAGGAGGATCGCCTAGACCAAAGTAAGTGGGAAACCAAAGTGATAAAAGATGAGTACTGATGATCCACCTCAGCTAGTTTTCAATGTACAAGGAACTCCCCCAAGACTTATCTCAAAGGAAGAGTGCTAAATAGAGGTCCCAGACAGATTGAGAGAATCAAACTTAAAAAGATAAGGCACTAAAACAAAGCAAGTCCCAGAAACAAAGAAACCATGTTAAATGGAACATTGTATAATAAGAAATAAAGGCCAAGGTGGATAACAGGTAGGTTTGACTTTTCCCCTGTAGAGTTGTAGAGGTTTTAATGTAAGGCATCAAGAAGAAAATGAAGCACAGACAATTAGCGAAGAAGTTGAGCAAATGAACAACGAAGATAAAATGACTGAGGGCGAGAGAGGAAAAATGTAAGAGAAGAAGGTCTCCAAGCTGGAAGAAGAGACTCAAGGGATTGAAACTTGAAAAAAGAAGAAGAATCTCAACCATGGGAAAATATTCTCATAGCATGGGAGAATTTGGCAATTGGGGGTTGACACAAAGCAGAGATAAAAAATAATCAGCACGAAAACGAATATTAGGAGAAGGGAAAAAATAGGCAAAGGAGGCTCATGCAACAAGGTAGTTTAAAAATCAACAAAAAAACCTGTAGTAAGAGAAAAAATGTCACATACTTGTGTGATTAAAGTAGTAAGGGACAAAGTTGGTTACCTGATCCTCATTCGAGAGAGAGAAACCAGAAATACAAAGAGGTGGAAGGAGCAGTTGGTCAAAATCATCAAAAACAAAACAATATAGTGTTAACTGAAGCAACAAAAGAATACGGTGAAAATGTAAAGTAGAACCAGTCACTTGGTACACAAAAGTAGTAACATTGCTAGCTGACAGAGTACCTCCAGTAGCTACTGAAATAGTAGAAGACATCTCCTGTTGAGCAATGTCTGGGCTTTGGGAAGAATTAGATATGGATAAGCAAAACAGAGTTGAAATGATCCAAGATACCTTCTCTTTTTTTTTTCTTTTTGTGAGCACAAATAAAAAAATGAATTGGAAAAAAAGACAACAAGTCAAATAGGTAACCGAAGGTTAAAATAATAATTGCAACTCAAAATATTTTGTAATTCAGAATAACATGACTGAACACAGCTCAAGTGGAGTACTGTGCTTAAAAGATGTGTTACCCTTCCGTTAATGGAGGAGTATGATCTAATACTAATTGTATTATAGACTGGCACAGTAAAAGCTATTAAGTACAGATGTTTCATTCAAATTCTTGATGCATGTGTGAAAACCTTTTCGGCAGTGCTGTATTAGCTATCTTTTCTGTGAAATGGCGATTAGTATTTCACGATATGCAAATTAGTACTATCAAAGGTTCAAACCTTCATTCAGCAATGTCTGTTCCAGACCTACAAATGTCAAAATGTATCTTTATTTGATAGCTCAAATATATGGAAAACCAGGGAAATATTTTCAATTAGTATGCTACCATATATATCCAAGTAACAATGGACTATACCAAGTTGTTGGTTTCTTCATTATTACATTTCCAAATAAATAATATAATCATATGTAAACACCAAATACAGCTTTAGCACAAACAGAAACAGTTGTATAACAATTTGTGTTTTTGTGGCCATCTTCTAGTTCTTCAAGGGTGCCAAGATGTAATTTTTCATTCTTAATCAGTATGTTTTGAAGGTATAACAAAATGGCATTAAAAATCACTTCTGACATTTCTAATCACATGCCAGACTATAAGGTAATGCATGTATCCAGAAGAAAACCAGCTGACTGAAAACCTATGAAAGACTGGAAGAATGAACAATAAAACTATACTGGTTTAATAATGTTTTATAAAAATTAAACATTATAGTTAAATGTGTTTTTTTAGTATCTTTAAACAAAACTTAATCTTCATCTATTGTTCTCTCTCAGCCTGGGGTTGATGATGAGGGTGTGGTGTTTCCAAAATTAGTTTAACTAAAACAGTGAGTCAAAACAAAAGATAAACATTCAGCATTTTCTCCTCATTATAAATTAGGAAAGCAGATATCAATAATACTTGAACTTCAACAACTACATTTGAAATATAAGGCCTTCTTAAGTTTTAAGCACTAATACATTCTTTAAAATTATCTACCTTCTTTAATCGTTGCAGATAATATTATAAGCTTAAAAAAAAAGCACATGTATATAAGAAGTCTGATTTGATTTAGTGATACAGCTTTACTTACCAATGAGCCATTGGATGTGACACACCGTGTACCCTTACCAGTTGACCAGAATACATCCCACCAACTATAGCCCCTACATAGGGAATTATCTACATAGAAGAAAAAGGCATATATAAGTTTCAAAACAATTCTGTTTTAAATACAGAATGGTTAATTATATTTTATGTTTAGTCTACATACTTATAACTAAAAAATTGAACTATTTTCAATGACTAAGCTTAAGTTATAAGCTTTATTCACTATACAGGACTATCTACAGTATTTTCCTTGGTACACTTTGATCCTAAACAGGTAAACTAATGCTTACATACTAATGTGTTAATATTCTGTTAGTAAAACTTTGAAGGGTTATATTTCTAGTCTTTCCAGTTTGATTTTGAAGCTGCTTAATGTCTCTTTTCATAACTTTTCTTAATAGGCTATTCAATACATTTGTGAAAATGTGTAGATACACATGTGTATATTACTTTTGAATTGCTTTGAGTGAGACCCATCTTATATTTCTGTATGTACCATTTGTAACCAACTTTATCTGTGAATGAGGGTCCTTAACACTTATAATTTATCACTTCTCTTGCATCTATATGCAGTTATTAGTATACTTAACTTGCCTGCACAATCATTACATAGAAGGTTTCATATATTATGAACCATCTTTGTGACCTTTCTCTAAACCATAACTATTAAATTGCAAGATTGTGACCAGCAACATAATATACTGAAGTTCAAAGTTTTGTCCAACAATATGAGAGGTAGCAATTTCTATTTATTTTCAGTTATGATTATGTAAAACAAATGTTAAGTATTTATCCATGTGACATGTGATTTCACGGTTTGGCAAGAAATAAATGATATTAAGATTTCAAGTTAGACTAGCAAGAGAGAGGGGTGTTAGGCTAGAAATATGTGAAACTGTGATAAATACTTTACTTGTTAAAATATATTATTGCATGTACACACTTAATCTTTTATTTGTGACTATTTCTCTGAGAAGTGTCTAATATTGTTATTAATATTACAAATTACCTTTTTCTTCTACTAGTTCTTTTTTCCATATTCATTATTATTGCTATCATTTTGTGATTTTGATATTAACAACATTATTTTTTGCATTTGGATATTAAGTTGTTTATTTACAGAATCCTGTCCAGGTACTTTATCATTAGTGTTTCATATTTTGAAAAACTTGTGTTTAATAAACCTTCCAATTTTTTGTACCTGGAAGTAATGTAGTTATTTGATATATTACAAATACTCCTGTTTTCCTCAAAAAATTGTCTTTCGTGGATTCTTCAAACTCCATTTCAAGCACCTACATGGAAACTACCATTTTTTTGACAGATACTTTAACTTATTTATGTCACCCTGAATAATATGCTAGTCATTTAGGTCTTGCATTACTTTGAGTATATTTGTCTTTAGCAACATATGGATCCACAAACTGCTCCAAACAGGTCATTCATAAATATCACATGACCCAACATTAGTAGATTCCAACTTGCCTAGACAATCATGATATAGCAGGTTTCTTAATTTGTGAATCAACTTTGTGGCCTTTCTCTAAACTAACACTTTCATATTGCAATATTGGTGTCCTTGGACCCTTGGTAAATCACCCACAGCCCCAGAGTGCAGAATGTGACTTTTTTGTGGTACAAGACATAAACCATGCACTGTAGATCTTATATCTACAGTACAGTATGCTAATCACTATGTCACCACTGGTCCAATATTGAATATGTGTGGGAGACGTCATAGTAATAAATTATTATTATACATACCTAGTGTTATTCTACTCTAAGATCATGATCTATCACCTGTAATGAATCATACTTTTCTAAGATCATTATTAACAGTACTTAGAGATTGATAATAACAGAACAATAATAGTTAATGTCATTGTAGTTAATATATATCATAAACATTCATAAATACTATAATGTCATCATTCAAAAATGTATTATATATTTTTCATGTAATGTTTGTCAAATATAATCACATAGGACATAATAGGTGATTTTCTGAGTAAGACATTTTATTTGTTTAAACTACATTTGCAGTGATATTTGCACTGAAACAATTGCATTAGCTACAATGATAAAATAGTGAATGACCATAAAAAAAAGCACTGTTTTGTGTTTCATCCACAATTACTTTGTTCTATAAATTGGAAGGGGGTCAAACTCTGAACATTATTTTTAATAAGTTTATTTCATTTTGTTTAGCATATTGGAACATGAGTGGAAAAGAAATCATATCTATTACCTCTTATATCTATATCATTGTAACAATATACTGCAGAGATGGTCAATGTAAATGAGAGAGAGACACTGAGCATGATTGATAAGTTAGGAATCTGGGCAAATGGTCAATAATTTGAATAAATACTGAAGTATATGTTAGCTTATGCAGAAGTTAAACTCAACATCTTAACATTTATATATAACTTATATAACCAACTATATAAACTCATGCATTTAAAGTTAAACTGTGTCAAGTATTGTCCAAAACTTCAATTCCAAGACTTGTTTAACTTTACAATATTATAACAGTATTGTATTATTAGAAAGAAAAAATATTTTAATATAAAAATGAAAAATGACAACTTTGAAAAGGGAAATCAGCAGATGACAACAAAACTGGTAGGCTGAGTTTGGTTTCGACTCAAGTTAAAAAAAAAAAGTATTGTATTACTAGTATTAGTGTTAACAAAATTCGTGTTCCAAAAACTAACTTGATTATCAATATCATCACTGTCTATAATTTATAAATAAACGTTAATAATTACCAAATGTAAATACCATTGCCAATCCCATTACCATATCATTCTGTTATCATTATTGTTTACATTAAGTTTAAGTTTAACGCAATAACAGTTTAAGTTTTAACGTCTAACGTTATTCCTAAAGTTTAGGGGTCTTTATTCGTTACTTTTAAGTTTTAGTTTTACTTATAGTCGTAAGTTGTACAGGTTTAGTCAGTTATCAAACATATTATCATATTAAAAATGTAATTACCAGTACGCTGCCAGTTTGCTTAACCGCTTTATAAGTTATAGTTATACTATAGTTATAATGTAAATTATTTAAGTATATTCAATTTAAAAGGAAATTACTCTAAGTAAATTACTAAATAAATGTTTAACATACTGGATTATGAATAGGTACGTCCATCCCTGATGTAGAATTAAATCCCAGTTATAACAAAACACAATGGTATATACAAATTTCAACGATCAATCAAAATTAGCAGATGTTTGGGTGAAACACCAAAATGTAGCCCTTTCAAAGATATCTGTAACCGGAGGCCCTCTACGTGAAACTGGTACATACGAAATATTTTGAACTTTTGAAAAAAATACTAGTATCAAAGTAAGGTCCCTTATTTTTTTAGTTTGCTTTATCCATATACCAATAAACCCTATAAATATTATAATATCAAAAAATAATACATAGTTATCAACTGATCAGGGCTGAGGATATAAAATAAGAGGAACAAAGAATTTGTTGTTTGTTTGTTATTAAGCACAAAGCTACAAAATTGGCTATCTGTGTTCTGCCCACCACAGCAATCGAAATGGTTTTTAGCGCTATAAGTCCGCAGACGTCCCTCTGTACCACTGAGGGGAGTGGGGTGATGAAGCGGGATTATTATGATCAAGATTATGGGATAAACACCGTACCGCCCAAGTTTTGTTAAATGTATTTATCCAAACTAGAATTTTCATAAATTACAAACTTTACAATGATTATAGTAAAGATTTACACATTAGTTGCGCATGTAGATATAGAGATTATATCCTTATACCGAATTATCAGGATTTGCTAGACTGTGTGATTAAAAACAAAGCACAAAATCTGGATTAAAATTTTAGCATCTTTAACAGAATATTAAAGTTTAAAGTTTTATTAAAATGGACATTTTCAGCATTCGGGTTATACATTTTCCGTTGACAAATAATATACCCCAAATAAGATATTGTTACGTATCTGGTCGTTTGTTAATTTCCGGTATAGATTCTTTCCGAGGAACTTCAGCGATACGAGGTCCTTTCTTAATTAAAACTAGTTTATTCTTTCTCGATACAACTTTGTAATACACAGAATTTCCACAGTCACTTTAACTTAACTACTTTTATAAACACACGCTATAATTCACAGCGATTCACACACTTTACTTACGGTGCCTACTGCTCACTTGACTCAATTATATCTCTTCAATCTATCCCCGGCTTATATACTAAAAAAGAGGGCGTCTAGCAAACGCTGGGACATTCGTGAGGTTCCCCGATAAGTTGCGATCCTTCTAGAAACTCCAGCGCGCATGCTCCCGGCGTCACGTGACTTCCGCTGTCGTAACAATATGTTACAATGTATTATCAGCTTTTTAGTGTGGTAGTCTCATATAGCTAATTTCGACTTCAAATATAGAAATGATCGAGAGGGTGGAAACTGAAGAACATCTGGGTGCAAGTGATCATTGCTTTATTAGGTTTAATGCTTTGGTGCATATGGAGATAAGGAATAATGATATTTTGGTTACAAGTTTCAAAAAAGCTAATTTTGAAGGGATGCGACAACAATTATCTGTTGTGAATTGGGCAACTGAATTATTTGGAAACACTGATCAGATGGGGAAAATTTTTAAATATTTATGGTAAACATATTCCTTATAGAAAGAAAAAGGCAACTGCAAGTAAAAAAACAGGTTGGCTCACAAAGAGCATAAGAGATAAAATTAAAAGCATCATGAACTTAAGAAATTTAAATTGACTGGTATGACAGGAGAATTAATAGATCATAGAAGAATAAGAAAGTTGGTG